ACACACAAAAACACACACACACACACACATGCAGGCAAGCACAAGCAGGCAGGGCCAGAATGAAAATGAAACTGTTGCAAAATCCCATAAAACGGCCAAAACGCTTTTGTAAATGACGCCAACAGCTGTCGATGGCGAAAGGCAGACAACACAAGAACAACCACGCCTCCCCCCCCCCCCCCACACACACACACATGAACACCTATTAGTCATGTGTGTGTGTGTGTCCTGCGTTTTGGCGCGTTTTAATAAAGCGACAATGACATTTTATGAATTTTCCACTTTGTTCTTGCTTAGCATTCGCATTCGCCTGTAACAGCCACGCCCACAGCCCACATCTCACCCGCCCGCGCGACCACGCGCAACCCCTGCTGCAGAAAGCTGGGCAGGACAACAAGCGTCGTCCATTGTTTGTCTGTTTGCTTATAGCCGCAGCGTCGCTCACTTTGCTTCCAGCCAGGAATTCAGTTTCGCCCGCGGCTTCAAATGAATTGTCATTATCTCTTTCCCTCTCCTTCTCCCTCTCTCTCTCGCTCTCCTTCTCCCTCTCTTGCTGTGTGGGTGTCTGCTGTACAAAGGCGTGTTCCAGTCGTCTTTGATATCCGATTTCATTTATAATTAGCTGCAAAGTTTACGGTTGCCATACCTTTGCTTGCGGTTGGCTCGGCTGGGTCAAATAATTTAGTGTCATCCAAGGGGATGGCAGCGTGCCCCACAGCCCACAACCCACAGCTCCCAGCTTTGCGCCACTTCACAGAGCTTCAGCTAAACTTGAAATCTCGCATAGGATACTAAACCTAGGCGCAAATAGAGCAAATGCTTGCGTAACTATTTAGCTCACATTGAAGCCAGCTAAACTGAGTAGATCCAATATAAAAATAACTAATATTTAAATATTATAGAGCAATAATTTGTTTAAAATTCAAATCTGAAGCCAGAAAATCAGAATCAGTATTATTTGTCCATTCCGAGGACTTTCTGCACAATGAAAATGTCTCTTTATGTTCCCCGAATCCACTGAAAATAGAGTATATATTATTGATAGCATGAAACGCTCTAGACATGTCCGTCCGACCGTCCGTCCGTCTTTCATTCATTCGTTCGTCTGTTCGTCTTTCCCGCCATTCGTCCGTCCGTCCGTCCGTCCATTCATCCATCCGGCGTCCGTCCATATGTCCGCTCAGAGAGATATATATGTCTTCAGATATATATATATATATCTTCAGAGCTATATATATCTTCCCTTGCTCCAGCCCGCTTTGAGCTACAATAGCAAGTTGAGCGGGTATTACGCAGTCGTCACTCCACTGGATTCATTTCGAGTGACTTCAATTTGTTTTCACTCCAGCTTTAGATATTTTTATATGGAATCGTTTTAGCAAATTGCGTCAAGTGGAAAGTAAAACGCGCCCAAATTAACAGCTAATTACGTGCGAGTGCCAAATGCCAAAGAATTTCATCAACTGGTTAAAAAAAAATTTATATATAGAGAAAAAATAAATAAAAATACAGAATTAAGTCTGGACGCACACGTAGCTGCCAATTGGAAGGGCCGCAGCAGAGAAACAGCGGCAAAAAAAGCGACGTCAAACATTATTTGAATACAAAATGTCCTTGAAAAGGGTAAATCCAGTTGCGCCCAAGTGACAAAAGTGAGAAATTAGTCGATGTGGCCGACACTAAAAGCGCTCGAGAATGAGTAGGGCGACCGCAACCCTTGCGCCCGAGCCTCAGCCCTAGGTGTTGCCTCTTCTATGGCAATAATTTTGTTTAGCCAAGGGAAATGGGGGAGCATAAAAAAAAATAAAAGGAAAAGCAAAAAAAAACCAAGTGAAAGGAGAGAAGCGCCGAGAAATGGGGGATTTAAAGCTGTCAAGTGCTGAGCACGAGGCGGGGGTCAACGCAATTAAAATTCAAAGAGCAAAATGCATTTGCCACGCTCACGCACAGACAGGCTGCTGGCCTGTCGAGTGTTGATGTCCACGATTCTGATTTTCTAACTGGGTTTGTAATTCAAATTGTATAAGAAGACAGCGCAGCAGTTACGCAAATATATAAATATATATCTATATATATAAATATATATATATATATATATATATATATATGTGTTTGTCTGTGTGTGTAGAGAGAAGTTTTTATGTCCTGTGCATAATTACTTGCTAAATTGTGCGACACAAATAACGAGGCATTAGAGTTGGCTTGCAAAAACGTAGCTACAGCTGCAAGGACTACAGTTTTCCACACACACACACACACACACACACACACTCCTGCGTTTCTTGTGGCTTTCGTTTCACATTTCTTATTGCTCATTTGCTGCTGCACTGCGTCTTATCGGCTAGCAAATTAACGCTCCAACCTCCCTCTCCCACTGTCCCTCTGCCTCGCTCTGTCTCTTTGGCATTTTGTTGCAATTTGCATGCCGCATTTGTGATTCGGCACATGTGAACGTGCAGCAGAGCAAGCTTATGCTTTGATTTGTCTATTGTTTTTATCCCTTAGCTTTAGATATGCAGCTTTAATTGCTGCAGCAGCAGCAGCAGTATCAGGCATTCCAAATCAATTATTTTCATTACATTTTAAAGTGAACTTTTTGCTTAGAGACACAAGGATTTGGCAGGTGTGAATTGCAGCTGTTAAAGTTATAGAAGCACCCGATATTCGACAGCTAGAAGAATCTATAGACTCTCCCCCTTCTCTTTGCAGCATATTAAAAGTCAATTTGATTGCCATTAACAGTGATTGCTGTGAAGTTGATTGATCTTAAGCAAAGCTTACCGATTGACGCCCAGGGCAGGCAATATGTTTTGAAATGTAAATACAACAGTTAAGTGAGCTGCTTGACTTATTAATATGCCACTTTAGGTAGGTACTTCTACCTCTCCCACTCTCTCCCTGCCCCACGAGTTAGAAGCTGGCGTCGAGATATGAAATTTCTGTTGGGCAGCGCCGAAAATAATGAGCTCCCAAATGAAGTGAAACAAAAAGAAGCACACAGTATTAATTATTCATATTTCATTAGTGAGCGCCAACGCCCCCGAGTGGAGCGACTGTAGCTCGTCAGGGGTTCGCCAGGAGAACTCAAAGAAAGGCGTGCACCATATAAAATTTATAAAAATCAAAGTAATGTAGCCCTTGCCAGCGAGCAAGCCTTGCACGGGCAAAAACAGAGACAGAGAGCGAACCAGTGAAAGAGAGAGTGAAGGAGAAAGCGTGGGTGTAGTCTACCTGGCTGCTGCTGCTGCTGCTGCTGCTGCTTTGGCAGGCATCATCATTTGTCTTGGCGTTTTGGGAGTCGCGGCAGTCGCATTGATGAATGAAGTGCGTACACATTGCCTCTGAAAAGGCCAAAAGGCCAGGCGACATTAAAAATGCACACGCAATCAGAAAATGTTTCCTTGCCCCAGACGCCAGTTGCCAGTTGCCAGTTGCCAGTTACCAGTTAGAGAAGGCAGCGGCAGCGGCAACAGCAGCAACAATCCCGTTGATGGATCAACACCGAACAGATAAGACAGCCGTTGGTTGGGGTAATGAGCCAGTTGAAGTGGGCCAAAGCATGGCCCATCAACTTTTCACCTCTTTCACACACACACACAAAGTTTTTTTCTTCTTCGTCGTCTTTTTTTTGTAAGCCTTTGAGCTGGGCCTGTGCCTTGCTGCTCTGTCGGCCTGTCGTCGTTTATAATTTGTTTGGGCTTTCAGCGGCCGTCCAAAGCAATTACCGTGCTCAAGGTGCACTTGCTCACACTTACTACCCTCGACCTCTCCCTCTCTCTCTCTCGTGAAAACTACGCAGTAAACAATTCGGCTTGACTTGAGGCGCACATTTGACCGTGCCGCGTCCCATCATCTTATCGGGTTCACTTACTGGGTCAACTTTCTGCTGACACTTGCCCTACCCCCGCGCCCAACTCACCGTGATTTATTATGCTTGTGCGCCTGCTTTTGCTGCTGTTGAGGCTATTTTCTTTGGCACGTTCGCGCTGAGAAAACAGTCGCCTCCACGCATGGCAGCCTCCTGTCATACGTACGTGTATGTGTGAGTGTGTTTGGGTGTGTGTGTGTGGTGTTGCGTGTTGACCCGTTCGACACCCATTAAAATGCAGTGATTCGCATTGCTGATGTACTCAGCAGATGCCTTCGAACCACGATAAATTTTATAAAGGAATTTGCTTTCGTTATGTAAGTGTCTCTCGTAGTCTGTGTTACTTAATTGCCAATTCCTGCCAGTTTCGTTTTACCTGTGCTTGACATCGATAACTTTTCTTCATCCAGCACCGATAACATTATTGGTACTTGACTTGCTTGATATGGCATCGATAACTGATATGGCATTTTACAACAGTTGCATTGCAACTAACTCACATGTACTGCATGTCTATCGATTGGCATGGTATCGATAATAGATTTTTCACTTGAAAGCTGCGGCTAACCATTGTATGCATCCTTATCCATCACCTTATGTATTCTCGAGTAAGGTACATATAGTGATTGCCTATGCTGCACTTGGCATGTTATCGATAACATTTATGCATAATTTTTGACACTTTAATTTGTTATCGATAATTTAAATCAGGAGCCAACACTTGTTTAATAAATATAATAGCTCAACATTTCTCTTTGATTCTGCTATAGACATATCGATAACTCGATAATTTTAACATATTCTCAATAGGTGCAATTGATCAATATTTATCGATAACTTATATATTATTTAACCCCAATATTAGTCAAGCGCTTGCTCCCCTTCAAGTTCAATTCGCATTTGTTTCGTATTCCCTCACTTGTTATCGATAACTTTTGATACTCTATAATATACATAATTTCATATGATCTCAATTTCCTTGCCATCGAGTTCTATGGTCAGGTATGTCCCTTCCTCCGCTGTCTCATTTACTCCTATCGCTTGTTATCGATAACTTCAAGTATTATCGAACATTAATTAAATTACACTTTTATTTTAAACTCTAACATTTGATACACTATACGAACTGATATTATTGCATTGCTTCGTCTGTCAGCTCATCCCCGCTGCTCGTATCGGATAGATTCAGTCCAGGTATCATGCCCGATTCATTGATCACTTCGTAGTCCACACGTACTGCCTCGTTGTCCATGCGCAGCAGATATTTGACCTCACGTAGGATATCCGGTTCGGGAGGCTCGACATTCTTATCTTTCAGTGCGTTGTTCAGGCGACGTCGACGCAGATTGCGACAGGGCGGCGTCAGGCCATGGGGCCACAGGTATTTTTCGTCCACTTTTAGGAAATCTCGATTGCTCTCTAAAATTGGCGATATTCTATTTTCCTTGTCCTCTTCAAGTGGTGCATCCTTAAGATCAACCTGCGTTTCGCTTTGTTTCCTGACGGCCCGCTTACCGGGCGCCTGCTGTTTCTTGGGTTGTCTTCCGGGCTTCTTGGGCGATGGCTTTTCCGGCGGTTTTCCGATCTGTTTGCTGGGTCGCTTTCCACTCTTCTTATGGGGCGTCCTTTCGAGCTCTGTATCCGAATTGGATTCGACTGTATGGCAGCTGCCTCTTGCCTGCTTGAGACGGTCCTTCTCCGATTCCCTTGGCCGCTCGCGATTGCAAACGAGCAGCTGACAGATATCAGCTGTTTTATACAAATTCGTATTGTCAGCTGTTTTGTAGCTCTCTATAATGGTGGGTAGATCAACAAGTTTGGCGTGCAGCAGCTGATTGTTCAGGCGCACCTCACCGTATCGCAAATCGGTGTCCAGCTGAATGGCCAATTTCTCATTTATATTGCCTGCTTCTATGGACTCGTGCACAATTTTTGCCAGATCCTGAAATCAGATATCAAATATAGAAGATTAAGCTTATCGCAACGGACTGCTGAAGTATTCCCAATTCTATTTAGCTTAACCTCTGGAAACCGTATGAGAAACTGACTCTCCAGCTCTATTTTATCAACCGGAGATGCAATCTGTGGCTGGCTAATCTTCTTGGACATAGTTAGCTTTGTATTTACTAACTTCATTTCGAGCATCTGTCAAATGGGCAAAAATTCCATGGCAATGCGCCCAGTGTTAGCAAACGCCAGCTCTATATCGATAATAATACTCTGACAGCTTTAAATAGTTCTTAGCTGTCAGCCCAGACACATCCAGAAATTATTCTCTATAAATATAGCATGAACTGGAGAGTCAGCCTAGATGTAGTTAGCCATGTTCCATTAGCTTTGCAGGCATTAGCCTGACACTTGGAATGGGTTCATCACTTTTTTACATCAGTTACAAATAGGAAATTCGTACAGCTCGAAGCTGTTTCTCACAAAGTTATCCATAATTTGTTTGTACATATAAAATCTTTGCCGTTTCCTCAAAATATCTTCACAAAATTAAGGGTTTTTCTATGATTACTATTAAGTGTTGCTCTTTGTTCAAATGTTATTAAGTCTCATGCAAAAGAACATCTTGGGAGATTAGTTATCCCACTATTATATATTAAATATATCATTTCCGTTTCTCAATAAGTTATTCCTATCAAAGTATGTAGTATATGAAAGTATATTCAAGAGATAAAGCTTTGTTTTTTTACCAATTTTCATTCATGTTTTTCTGCCAATTTGTCGGACCCTATCTGACTCTTCATCTTCAGCTCTTATAATTGTTTCTTACATATTTATCTCTCCGCTGCCAACTCAGCTCATTTAATACCATAACAAAGAGAACTTAGTCCTTTCACACTGTATACAAGGATTCTATATTAAATGTTAGCCAACTTTCATTTTTATTTGGGTTTTGCATGGCCCTATATAATGTATGAATACTTTCCACTTATTTGCATACAAGTTGAAGTTATTTCTATTAATATTCCATTGCGTATTCGCGCGAGAATATATTCCATTTTTAATAACACAAAACTTTATGAAATTTTTATAAATAAAAGGCGAGCGCAGCGCCAAAAAAAAAAGAACTAAAAAATAAAAAAAAAATCCATTGCCAAAAGGAGAGCTCAAAAGTCAAAGCAAACAAGCTAAAAGGGGCAGCAGCAGAAGGCGAGGATTGAGGCACTCCCCAGCAGAGAACAAATGGGATACACAGCGAGATCTGCCGATGGGGCGAGCGCAGTGGGGCGGAGCGCTGAACTGGTCTGGTCTGGTCTGGTCTGGTCTGGGCAAAAGCAAAACAAAAACAATTGAAATGTGAATATTAAATATACAAGTACAAGATTTTTTTCTCCTGCTGCGGTCTTTGCAGGTGTCGTCCGCCACGCCCATGCTGCGGCAACTCCCTACGGCGTCATTGTGTGCACTGCAAGTGCCAGCAACAACAACAAGAAAAGGCACCCACGTCGACTGATTGATGTTGAGCTTTGCATGAGTTAAGCAGCGGGTCGCTTACCCTTTAACTCAACGTTAGCCGCAGCCGCAGCCTCAGCGTCAGCGTCAGCGTCAGCCTACGCGATTGGCTATTAGTTTAGCCAGTTGCTTTAAGCCATATTGTTGCTTGATCTGCGCTGTCAGAGCTGTACAAAAAATAAAAGCAAAAAAACCAAAACGTTTTTAGATTTTCAGCTAAATATCCGGCATGATTTTCATGCCTTTGAAGTGAAGGCTCTGACAAGTGTTGTAAAACGTCTTGTATATATATAAATATATTGGCAAACTTCCCTGCTTATATCTGCATAGACATTTCTACAAATTTGAGTAATAACTTAGCACTTGAAGTTGGAGTCGAGTAAGTTTCGAATAGCTGCCTGGCTTACTTGGGCTCCACTGATGCTGGAGGCTTAAAGCCAAATTGTTAACGGTAACTGAAAGAATTTGTGAACACTGGCATGGAAATAGAGCCAGACGCCACAATAGAAACTAATTGCAGGCCAAGCAAATTGTTTACAACAGCCTCAACTCTCTGGCTTTTCCTATCACTCTATATATATATATATATATATATGGTTATATGGTATAAAAGCCAGGAATATTTTTCAGCTGAATATATAGTTCTTTCTCTCTATGTGGGTGTGTGTGTGTGTGTGGCATGCAACGAGGCACATTAATTAAATAAAAATTGATTTTTCAAGCGCCTGAAATCCAATCAACGACCAGCTCCAAGTAGGGACAACAACGAGTGGCTCGCACATAGAGCTATGTCCTGGATCAGCGCATCAGCAGCAAACAGCGCACCACCCAACGCACCACCCACTGCTGCTGGTTGCCAAATGAAGTTAACAAAGTTTACGGTTTTTTTTTATATATAATTTTTTTTGCGTTCGTTCGAGTTTCAATTTTTTTTTTCCTTTTTATCGTTTGCATAAGTATATAATATGGACATGGGGCAGCTATTGTGGCGCTGGATATGCGATGCTTTATCCCATGGCACATAGTGCCACATGCCACATGCCACATGCGTTTTGTATCGCCTTTAACCATTGGCCACAGTTTAATGTGCGCTGTCGCCCTTTTTGCGGGGCGGCATTTAAACCACAGCAAGTCATCAGGCAAATTGAATTTTCAACGTATGCTCGCATAGCGACTGTGCGTGTGTGTGTGTGTGTTTGTGTGTGTGTGTGTGTGCGTGTGCGTGACACGCCCACAATTACAATGCCTGACTTAAAGCTCTACTTGTTTTATATAGCACTTATAGCAACTACTACTACCACCAGTGCCCCAGCTCCGAGAGCCGCCGCTTCGGTTCCTGGTCAACGCCATTTGCCGTTCGCTTCTTTCGTTTCTCGTTACAAAATTACCCACGATAAAAATTGAATTACTTCGTCGTGGAGCTGGCTGGTTGACTGACTGGCTGGCTGGCTGGCTGGCTGACTGCCTGGCTGGCATCACATTCTAGTCTGCCTCCTGGTCATGCCGAGATCCGTGACTTGATGGGCCCTGGGTCGGGGCCCGAGTCCCCCGGATAGCAGCAGCATTGAACGCTGCAAAGTGTTATGCTTACTCTTGACTCGCCCACAGCCACGCCCGCGTCTCAGCGAACACTACTTAGGCGACGTTGAAACTGTCGCCGAGCCTGCTCGCTGTCTGGTTTGGGTCTGGGTCTGGGTTTGGGTCCAGGTCCTGGTGCTGTTCCTGGTCCTGGTTTTGAAGCCTGCACCTAGCGCCCTGTTTTTACACTCTACTACTCTCTCTCTCTACCTCTCACTCTATGTGTGTGTGTGTGTATGACTTCATCTAATGATAAATGAGCTGCAATGGATGACAGCGAATCAACTTAAGTGTATTGCTCTGCTTCGGTGACACTCCCAACGCCCACCCAACAGCATAGCCAACCCCCGACCCCAGCACTCCACTTGACTATATGTCCTGCAGGCAGGTCTGGGCCGTTGCCTTTGCCTTTGCGCTGTCATCCAATGCACTTTCCCTTAACGCTCTCTGCTTGTGTTTACGTTTCACTTCAAATTTCTATGCTACACTAAATATTTACATAGGAAAAACTTTGCAAGTGTAAGTGAAACGCTTTAAAGATGCTCGAGCGCAAAACAACAGAAACAAAAAATGCAAAAACTAAAACTTGAGCGAATATTTCGCTACTCATTAACTTATCGAAACTTCGTTTTTTGCGGCATGGCTAATTAGAGAGATTGGTATTTAATGATTGCAGCTGCGACCAGCTCTAATGAAAGAAGAGATGCAGAAAGTTACAAATAGTTAGAGGAACAAAAGAGTGACAGCAATCGCATGAGCCTGGCAGAGCTCATGTTACTTGCTAATCAATTTAAGTGCTTTGCATTGTTCCTGTTCTCTTAAGCGGGACAACTTCATAGACTCTTTCTAATAACGCAAATTGATCCTTCTAGACTATAAGAGCCTTTAGGAAACTAAGTGCCTTTGAGGCACAGCCAGGTTCAATCTTAACCGTGACAACTTCATAGACTCTTTCTAATAACACAAATTGATCCTTCTAGACTAAAGGAGCCTTTAGGAAACTAAGTGCCCAGCCAGGTTCAATCTTAACCGTGACAACTTCATAGACTCTTTCTAATAACAAAAATTGATCCTTTTAGATTATAAGAGCCCAGGCAACAAAGTGTATTTGCGGCACAGCCAGCTGCAATCCAACAGATAGACGAGGCTATTTGATCATCAGACTTAAACTTCGCAATAGCTACACTATATACTCAATGCTAACACACTTCAGTGCAATTCAATTTAGTGTCGGACATCCACAAAAGTCAACCAGAGATTATTTTCGAGGAGCAATTTACACCGGACTTTATTAATTAATGCATAGATAAATTAAGTTTTATTTGGCAAACTAATTGTTACAATAAATAAGCAAAAAAAAAAATTGTAAGTACATATATGTTGCGTGTATATAAATATATATCGTTGCTAATATCATTGAATTTATTGTGAGATTAAATATATTGAATGCTACAGTTTTCGTTTCTGTTTCGGTTTCCGTTCACTTCGTTTGGCCGCAGTTGCTGCGCAGTTGGCTCTCTACTTGTGCAGGCAGACGGCATCGTCCTTGGAGACGCACTTGAGGCTGCGGTAGTCGAAACGCTCCTTGTTGTCGCAGCGCAGATGGACAAACCGATGTTTGCCGGACTTTTTAATCTCGCAGCGGTAATATTTACGACAATCGCGCACATCTGGGTAGACATCGTCTTCATCGCATTCGTCTTCGTTTCTTAGCTTTTTGATGACGTTCTTTACGAATTGCCTTTTATCCTTGGAACTCAGATCGTCGTTGTCCTCATCTTCGTTGGATTTCTTCTGTTCGCTATCTTTCTCCTCCTTCGAGTCCTTTTGCTTTTTATCATCCTTTTTGTCACTCTTGTCCTCCGATGAGCTGCTTGATTTTTTCTTATCGTTGTCTTTTTCCTCATTTGAGTCTTTTGACTTGCTGCTCTCCTTCTTCTTATTCTCCTTTTCTTCTTTCCGTTTATTTTCCTTCTCCTTCTTCTTCTCGTCTGAACTGTTTTCATCGGAATCCGACTTCTTTTTGTCCTGCTCTTTGGATTGATCCTTTTCAGACTTTGGCTTGTTCTTATCCTTGGGATTCTTGTTGCTCTCTTCAACCGAGGCATTCTCATTCGAGACTGGTCCATTAGACGGTTGCTCTACTGATTCATTCGTCTCCGACTTTTTGGGGTCCTCAGTAGGTGCTGATGTTGGTGCTGTTGTAGGAGCCGGTTTCTTAGATGGACGCCAGCCATTGACCCAATCACGCCAATTAGGCCAGAAGGGATTTCCCGCCGGGGCATTTCCACTGTTGCTGCCATTGCCGTTGCCCGGTTGCGTCGGTCGCTGTGGCCAGAAGGGATGTTGTGGAAGTGGTCTAAAGGTTGGGAGTGGATAAGTCGGGCGAATGGGATGACTCGGACGCCATGGGTTTGGCCATGAACCGGGCCTACCTGGATACACGGGAACTGAAGGGACAGAGGGCACGGAAGGATTGATGGGAGAATTGGGATTGTTAGGGTCTAGTGGGGAGTTAGGATCAACAGGAGGGTTAGGATTCACGGGTAAGTTAGGATCAACTGGAGCACTTGGGTCTACTGGTGCATTGGGATCAACTGGTGCATTGGGGTTGACTGGTGCGTTAGGATCGACTGGTACGCTGGGGTCCACTGGTGCATTAGGATCGACTGGTGCGTTGGGATCAACTGGTGCATTGGGGTTGACTGGTGCATTGGGATCAACTGGTGCATTGGGATTGACTGGTGCGTTAGGATCCACTGGTGCGTTGGGGTTGACTGGTGCGTTAGGATCCACTGGTGCGTTGGGGTCCACAGGCGCGTTAGGATCTACAGGTGCGTTGGGATCAAGTGGTGCGTTGGGGTCGACAGGTGCATTGGGATCAACTGGTGCATTGGGGTTGACTGGTGCATTGGGATCAACTGGTGCATTGGGGTTGACTGGTGCGTTAGGATCGACTGGTACGCTGGGGTCCACTGGTGCATTAGGATCGACTGGTGCGTTGGGATCAACTGGTGCATTGGGGTTGACTGGTGCACTGGGATCAACTGGTGCATTGGGGTTGACTGGTGCGTTAGGATCGACTGGTGCGTTGGGATCTACTGGTGCGTTGGGGTCGACAGGTGCGTTGGGGTCGACTGGTGCGTTAGGATCCACTGGTGCGTTGGGATCGACTGGCGCGTTGGGATCTACTGGTGCGTTGGGGTCGACAGGTGCGTTGGGGTCGACTGGTGCGTTAGGATCCACTGGTGCGTTGGGATCGACTGGCGCATTGGGATCCACTGGTGCATTAGGATCGACTGGTGCGTTAGGATCCACTGGTGCATTGGGGTTGACTGGTGCGTTAGGATCGACTGGTACGCTGGGGTCCACTGGTGCATTAGGATCGACTGGTGCGTTGGGATCAACTGGTGCATTGGGGTTGACTGGTGCATTGGGATCAACTGGTGCATTGGGGTTGACTGGTGCGTTAGGATCGACTGGTACGCTGGGGTCCACTGGTGCATTAGGATCGACTGGTGCGTTGGGATCAACTGGTGCATTGGGGTTGACTGGTGCATTGGGATCAACTGGTGCATTGGGGTTGACTGGTGCGTTAGGATCGACTGGTGCGTTGGGATCAACTGGTGCATTGGGGTTGACTGGTGCGTTAGGATCGACTGGTGCGTTGGGATCAACTGGTGCGTTAGGATCCACTGGTGCGTTGGGGTCAACTGGTGCATTAGGATCGACTGGTGCGTTGGGATCAACTGGTGCATTGGGGTTGACTGGTGCGTTAGGATCGACTGGTGCGTTGGGATCAACTGGTGCGTTAGGATCCACTGGTGCGTTGGGGTCGACTGGAGCATTGGGGTCGACTGGTGCGTTGGGATCCACTGGTGCGGTGGGGTCCACAGGTGCATTGGGATCGACTGGCGCATTGGGATCCACTGGTGCATTGGGGTTGACTGGTGCGTTAGGATCGACTGGTGCGCTGGGGTCCACTGGTGCATTAGGATCGACTGGTGCGTTGGGGTTCACTGGTGCATTAGGATCCACTGGTGCGTTGGGGTCGACAGGTGCGTTGGGATCAACTGGTGCGTTAGGATCGACTGGTGCATTGGGGTTGACTGGTGCGTTAGGATCGACTGGTGCGCTGGGGTCCACTGGTGCATTAGGATCGACTGGTGCGTTAGGATCCACTGGTGCGTTGGGGTCAACTGGTGCGTTAGGATCAACTGGTGCGTTGGGATCAACTGGTGCATTGGGGTTGACTGGTGCATTGGGATCAACTGGTGCGTTAGGATCGACTGGTGCGTTAGGATCCACCGGTGCGTTGGGGTCCACAGGCGCGTTAGGATCTACAGGTGCGTTGGGATCAAGTGGTGCGTTGGGGTCAACTGGTGCGTTAGGATCAACTGGTGCGTTGGGATCCACTGGTGCATTGGGGTTGACTGGTGCGTTAGGATCGACTGGTGCGTTGGGATCAACTGGTGCGTTAGGATCCACTGGTGCGTTGGGGTCGACTGGAGCATTGGGGTCGACTGGTGCGTTGGGATCCACTGGTGCGGTGGGGTCCACAGGTGCATTGGGATCGACTGGCGCATTGGGATCCACTGGTGCATTAGGATCGACTGGTGCGTTGGGATCTACTGGTGCGTTGGGGTCGACAGGTGCGTTGGGGTCGACTGGTGCGTTAGGATCCACTGGTGCGTTGGGATCGACTGGCGCATTGGGATCCACTGGTGCATTAGGATCGACTGGTGCGTTAGGATCCACTGGTGCGTTGGGGTCGACAGGTGCGTTGGGATCAACTGGTGCGTTAGGATCCACTGGTGCGTTAGGATCCACTGGTGCGTTGGGGTCGACAGGTGTGTTGGGCTCAACTGGTGCGTTGGGGTCCACTGGAGCGTTGGGATCGACTGGTGCGTTGGGGTCCACAGGCGCGTTAGGATCTACAGGTGCGTTGGGATCAACTGGTGCGTTAGGATCCACTGGTGCGTTGGGGTCCACAGGCGCGTTAGGATCTACAGGTGCGTTGGGATCAACTGGTGCGTTGGGATCAACCGGTGCATTGGGATCGACAGGTGCGTTAGGATCGACTGGTGCGTTGGGATCAACTGGTGCGCTGGGGTCCACAGGCGCGTTAGGATCTACAGGTGCGTTGGGGTCAACTGGTGCGTTGGGATCAACCGGTGCATTGGGATCGACAGGTGCGTTAGGATCGACTGGTGCGTTGGGATCAACTGGTGCGTTAGGATCCACTGGTGCGTTGGGGTCGACTGGTGCGTTAGGATCCACTGGTGCGTTGGGGTCGACAGGTGCGTTAGGATCGACTGGTGCGTTGGGGTCGACTGGAGCATTGGGGTCGACTGGTGCGTTAGGATCCACTGGTGCGCTGGGGTCCACAGGCGCGTTAGGATCTACAGGTGCGTTGGGGTCAACTGGTGCGTTGGGATCAACCGGTGCATTGGGATCGACAGGTGCGTTAGGATCGACTGGTGCGTTGGGATCAACTGGTGCGTTAGGATCCACTGGTGCGTTGGGGTCGACTGGTGCGTTAGGATCCACTGGTGCGTTGGGGTCGACAGGTGCGTTAGGATCGACTGGTGCGTTGGGGTCGACTGGAGCATTGGGGTCGACTGGTGCGTTAGGATCCACTGGTGCGGTGGGGTCGACTGGCGCATTGGGATCCACTGGTGCATTAGGATCGACTGGCGCATTGGGATCCACTGGTGCGTTGGGATCAACTGGTGCGTTAGGATCGACTGGTGCGTTAGGATCCACTGGTGCGTTAGGATCAACTGGTGCGTTGGGATCAACTGGTGCATTAGGATCCACTGGTGCGTTGGGGTCCACAGGTGCATTAGGATCAACTGGTGCGTTGGGATCAACTGGTGCGTTAGGATCCACTGGTGCATTAGGATCGACTGGTGCGTTGGGGTCGACAGGTGCGTTGGGATCAACTGGTGCGTTGGGATCAACTGGTGCGTTAGGATCCACTGGTGCGTTAGGGTCCACAGGCGCGTTAGGATCTACAGGTGCGTTGGGATCAACTGGTGCATTAGGATCCACTGGTGCGTTGGGGTCCACAGGTGCATTAGGATCGACTGGCGCGTTGGGATCCACTGGTGCGTTGGGGTCCACAGGTGCATTAGGATCGACTGGTGCATTAGGATCCACTGGCGCGTTGGGATCTACAGGTGCATTAGGATCGACTGGCGCGTTGGGGTCCACTGGTGCGTTGGGGTCCACAGGTGCGTTGGGATCAACTGGTGCATTAGGATCCACTGGTGCGTTGGGGTCCACAGGTGCATTAGGATCGACTGGTGCATTAGGATCCACTGGTGCGTTGGGGTCCACAGGTGCGTTAGGATCGACTGGTGCATTAGGATCCACTGGTGCGTTGGGGTCCACAGGTGCGTTGGGATCAACTGGTGCATTAGGATCCACTGGTGCGTTGGGGTCCACAGGTGCATTAGGATCGACTGGTGCATTAGGATCCACTGGCGCGTTGGGATCTACAGGTGCATTAGGATCGACTGGTGCATTAGGATCCACTGGTGCGTTGGGGTCCACAGGTGCGTTAGGATCGACTGGTGCATTAGGATCCACTGGTGCGTTGGGGTCCACAGGTGCGTTGGGATCAACTGGTGCATTAGGATCCACTGGTGCGTTGGGGTCCACAGGTGCATTAGGATCGACTGGTGCATTAGGATCCACTGGCGCGTTGGGATCTACAGGTGCATTAGGATCGACTGGCGCGTTGGGGTTCACTGGTGCGTTGGGGTCGACAGGTGCGTTGGGATCAACTGGTGCATTAGGATCCACTGGTGCATTGGGGTCAACTGGTGCATTGGGGTCAACTGGTGCATTGGGATCCACTGGTGCATTGGGGTCCACTGGTGCGTTGGGGTCTACCGGAGATACAGTTGTGCCCTCTGGGCTTGCAGGTTCATTTGGATCCACTGGGGCATTGGGATCCACTGGGGCATTAGGATCAACTGGTGCGTTGGGGTCAACAGGAGCATTAGGATCAACAGGAGCATTAGGATCGACTGGAGCATTGGGGTCCACTGGTGCGTTGGGGTCAACTGGTGCATTAGGATCCACTGGTGCGTTGGGATCCACTGGGGCATTGGGATCCACTGGGGCATTAGGATCAACTGGTGCGTTTGGGTCGACTGGAGCATTGGGGTCCACTGGGGCATTGGGATCCACTGGGGCATTGGGATCCACTGGGGCATTAGGATCAACTGGTGCGTTGGGGTCAACAGGAGCATTAGGATCAACAGGAGCATTGGGGTCCACTGGTGCGTTGGGGTCAACTGGTGCGTTGGGATCCACTGGGGCATTGGGATCCACTGGGGCATTGGGATCCACTGGGGCATTGGGATCCACTGGGGCATTGGGATCCACTGGAGCATTAGGATCAACTGGTGCGTTCGGGTCGACTGGAGCATTGGGGTCCACTGGGGCATTGGGATCCACTGGGGCATTGGGATCCACTGGGGCATTAGGGTCCACTGGTGCGTTGGGGTCTACCGGAGATACAGTTGTGCCCTCTGGGCTTGCAGGTTCATTTGGATCCACTGGGGCATTGGGATCCACTGGTGCGTTCGGGTCAACTGGTGCATTGGGGTCAACAGGAGCATTTGGATCGACTGGAGCATTGGGATCCACTGGTGGGTTGGGGTCCACTGGGGCATTAGGATCCACTGGTGCGTTGGGGTCTACCGGAGATACAGTTGTGCCCTCTGGGCTTGCAGGTTCATTTGGATCCACTGGGGCATTGGGATCCACTGGTGCGTTCGGGTCAACTGGTGCATTGGGGTCAACAGGAGCATTTGGATCGACTGGTGCGTTGGGGTCGACTGGAGCATTGGGGTCCACTGGTGCGTTCGGGTCTACTGGAGATACAGTTGTGCTTGCAGGTTCATTTGGATCCACTGGGGCATTGGGGTCCACTGGTGCGTTGGGGTCCACTGGGGCATTGGGATCCACTGGGGCATTAGGATCAATAGGTGCGTTGGGGTCGACTGGACCATTGGGGTCAACTGGTGCATTGGGGTCAACAGGAGCATTGGGATCAACTGGTGCGGTTGGATCAAGGGGTGAAATTGTTGTTGCCTGTGGGCTTTCCGTTGTGTTGGGGTCAACAGGTGCATTTGGATCAGCCGGAGATATAGTAGTAATCTCTGGGTCCACTGGTGCGGTGGGATTAGCTGGATCTGTTGGGTTGACCGGAGGTAATGAAGTTCCTTCTGGGCCGATTGGCTCAGTTGTCCCAATGGGACCATTTGGATCTAGTGGGGTACTAGGATCGGAAGGTAGAGTTGGCTCGACAGGAGAAGACGTTGAGCTTGGGCGTGTTGGTTTTGTTGGGCGCACTGGGACACCGCCTGTAGTTGGATTCCATATGGCTTCAGTTGTAGTATCCAGTGGTATATTGGGCAAAGTTGTTTCGGGATTTACAGGTGCAATCGTTGTTTCGACAATTGGCTGAGCAGTTGTTTGCAAAGGAGCACTAGTGGTTGCCTCCACCGGCGCATTTGTCGTCTCAACAAGAGCCGGTGTTGACTCAACGGGCAGCTGGGTTGTACTGAGGGGCACAGACGCAGTTGTCGTAAGAATCACTAGGCCCTCAGTACTATTGGCAACCACAATGCCGCCGGAGCTGGTCGTGGACTCTATGATAGCCGCAGATGCTTTACCGCCAATGATCGGGTGATCGGTGACTGTTGTCATCTTGGCAACCGCCGCAGCGGGCGCTTTAGGATCCACTTTAACGGCCACACAAATCTCCACGCCTTCATTAATGCAGCGCGTGTTCAGTGGACACTGAATGACACTGCCTGTGGCCACATTCTTCTCGCAGAGCTGATAGGATGCCGGTCCCACGCAGATGGCCGGTTGTCCGCTGCAATTGATGCTAATGATTTGCGCACTGGTCTGTACGGCCTGATGCTGGCCATCGAACAGTGCGGCTAACTATTGAAGATAAGGGTAAGACGTGGAGAAGGAGAGAAAAAAGAAGAGAAAGAGAGAGAGAGAGAGAGAGAGAGAAAGAGAGGAAATAATTTAGTATGACTGGGCGATCGGTCGCACTGGTGCACTGTTTGTCACAAGTCGGAGTCTCGGGACCGTAACAATTACACTGGTTTAGTTTCACTTGCATAGGATACTTTCGAGTCGCCGCCGAGTGCTATAAACGATATCCAAAGTAGCAAGAATCCCGGCAGCTTTTGTTAGTTTGTTTGGTTTTAGTCACGCGTATCCAAAAGCCCGTAAAGTTGCCACACAAAATGGTTAATAAAATACAACTCATCAGTAACAGAAACAAAAAATATTTAATTATTTTCAAATTTTGATTTGAGGTTCTGGCATGACGATGTGGGGAACGGGAATATCGGGTTTTGGGTATTCTGGTGGCGCGTTAGTACAATCTATGCAACAATTACCACAAATAACATCAAAATCTTGAATATTCTGTTCGTCATCGTCGAGGTGCGTTATGTATTTGGTTCGAATTAAAAATCGTTACTATTCCCGGCATGGGCAACTGCGTCGCTTTTATTCGAAGCAAAAATAAACAACTTATGCCATCTGCCCTTATCTCTAGCGAATCTGCTTGACGCTGTGTAAATAGCCAATGATTATCTTTGTTTGTCCCAGATAAGTTTGCGACCAATTTATGATATTGCAGCTAAAATCTGAGGCGGCCCAAAGCTGTTTGCGGCTGTGAGCTACATATTTCTTTCGACGAGTCTTACTAAACCTATTTATTTATTTTTTACCCACAGATATTTTTAGTTTTTAATTTATTTTATTTTTTTGTTTTTGCTTGTTTTTCCGCCTCGTTGACGTAATGGAAATATATGAAATTATTGTTGTTAAACAAAAATAAGATTAAGAACATCTATTAATTAATTTGCCTTAGCTTAGCTAATTCCAATCGCTTCTCAGAAAACTCCCATCAGTCGCAGGCAACTTAACCAGCCATCAATAGGTGTGGATAATTTATATTTAGGAGTCTAGTCAGATTAAAAGAGTTGATCAAATGTTTACAGAGATTAAGAACGCCAAAAACGGTACAAGGTAACAGTAATACAAGTAGCTATAAACATATGCCTGCTTAGCTTAGTTTAATGGGCTATGTGTGAAGACGACCTTGCCAGGTTTGTTATCGACAAGAATTTCCCAGTAGTTCAAATAGTAACTACGCTTAAGTCTAAATGCCAAATTCTGGGTAAGTTGGCCGAATGTGAATCACAGCTCGTGCAAATAATAATAATAAACTAATAAAGGTATAACTAACTGTATTATCTCTGTTGGGGCTTCCGATGGTCATTAAGTTGAGCCAATGATGATATTTCACACATTTGTTTAACTGCCGCACCTAATCTGAGACTAGAATTTTAATTCTTGTTTCTTTTTTGATAAACATCAACGAAAGAAGGCTGCGCATTTCCTCTTGACAAATTTGCGCTATTTGCCCAAAAATTTGAGGGCAAATAACCAACAGGAAAGACAATAATAATGGGGCGTATTGAATGTGAAGTACCCTGCAGTAATTCGATATGGAATTCCACTTTTTGCCCAGCGAACTGTTGCAACTTGAATGCCAACATTGAAATACCCCATCGAAGAGTGTTTACAGTGTCTAGGCTGAGGCAGGGCTGGCCGGAAATGTGGTTCAAAGTGGATTCCTGCATAGATCATGACTAAGACTATTTGGCTTATCTGTACAAGTAGATGGGGTACATCGCTTACACACGCACACCTGCACACCTGCACACCTACACACACCTATGCTGGCATATCTATGCAAGCTACTGTTTGCCAGCGGGTCTGCTAAACCTCCATTTCGTGACGCAAACAAAACAGCTTTTTCATTTGATTTTTGAATCGTTTGCGTATGTTTTTGCAAGCGTCACGATAAAGCCGAAGGCTGTGTGGCGGAGGAGCGGCCAGAGCAGTCAGAGCAGCGAGATCAGCAATGATCATGATCATGAATTCGAGTGTGATAAGAGCCAGATTACATATGCGCTGGCTGTCCGCGTAATGTTTATCGCCCAGCTACACGATCCGTCAAGATAAATCAGTCACTTAGTTAGCTAAAATATATATATTATATATTTAACTCCACGAGTGGGCAACTGTCATTTGAGTTGTATAACACAGAATCGCATCGTGGTATTCGGCATTATTTATGGGCAAAGGTCCAAAGACCTTTTCACCTGGACAATTGACTGAGCTAATTGTATGCATAAGCTTAACATCTGGCAATTCCCAAAATCCAACGGCACCCTACACAAGGCTTGGGTAGCTGGGTAGGCGAGTGGGCGGGCAGACGGGCAGGTGGGTAGGCTGGTAGGCTGGTAGGCTGGGACAGGGGTTGGCTGTGCGCGTACATCAAACAAAAATTGAACAGCAATTTCGTAGGCGCTTTGCCATGTTTCACATTGTGTATGCCCTTTGAAGCCGGCAATGCCATCAAATTGTTAAATTAAACGTCTTTTTTAATGCCCAATATCCATTAAAAAGAAGTCGCAAGTGGTCATGATGCAGACATGATGTTATACAGTGGGAATATAGATATCATCGATTGAAAATGCTATTGCACTTATATTGCACTTATAATTATAATATACTTTGACATAATATAATAATAATTGCGATAGCATTTTGAGCCTTGTGCCAAAGGCGACTATGACATATGTAAAGAAAGATTAATTTGCTATCGATAAGTATCGAAAAATAACAAGTTAACTTTCGATAAGGCTAGTTTCTATTCTTCAAATTTTTAAAAAAATTTAAATACAACACAGGGTATAAGCCAAGTGGCTCATGTTTACTGCAAACAGTAAAAGCAAGTACGGATCACCCTACAGTAAAACGTAGATATATCTAAAAATATATCTGCAGCTAAATAAAATTACAGGGTATACGCATTGTCAACCCATTGCTTCTGTCAAGAAATCAAACCAAATCCTTGAAGTCTAAATATACGCTTAAGAAGTCAATCGCGTAGGCTATGATCATATGTAATGGTAGAGGCAATTACAGGGTATAAGTCACGTCAGTCACCTCACCCGTTGCCAAAGCTTAGCCTGCCAAAAATTAAAAATCTGCCCAGCAACCAACGTGATAGACTTACAAATATATATCTTGTCAGATTTTCTGTGGAAATCATTTACAGGGTATGAGCTACGTCAGTCACTTTCGCCTCTCGACTCTCAAACACCTTGAAGCCGAAGTAAGTGCCCAAGAAGCTCACCCAACAGACTTGACAAATCAAATTTTCCACAGTCAGTTACAGGGTATCCGCCACGTGCAGCACGGCTACCTGCCTGCCGTTTGTCCTTCCTTTTTTGCGAGTTGCTTCATTTAATGCGGTTAAGCCATAAAATAAAAACGCAAATGCAATGCAGGCACTGCGGTTTTTCATGTCTAGACAATACAATAAATACAGTTAGCCATATATTTGTATTATCATATGGCGAATATGCGTACGCCGCCTACATACCCACGATATGCACATACATTAACCGATACATATATTTTATAATTGGCGTCAATTTGCTGGCTTATCGGCTGCCTGCCCCCGACTGGGGTTGCCACAAAGGTCGGCGCTGCAACATGCTGCACAAATGAGACGCAAATGTGTGCATTTTTATTGGAGAAGAAGAAGAGAGTAAAGCAGAAGACGATGAAACAGAGTCAAGAGTTCAGAAAAGTTAATATCAAATTTCATTCGATTGCATGAGAGTTGTATGAAGATGGAGCTATGAACTCTCGTGTTGAAGACAACGAGAAGGCGGAAGACTAAGTCATTGGGTGTTAGTTTTTTGTATAATATATATATATTTACGTCTTTCAGCCTTCAGATTCATCTGTCAAGATCTCTAAGGCTCGCATGTATAGAGCTTGCAAGTTGTCCAGACAAAGATGGACAGCTTATCACTTAGTAGTTCAAAGCTGTTGTGCCTAGCCCCAGCTAGACTAAGCCTAACCTAGCTGAAGGCTCATTCAATGCTTCCGCTATATATGCAATTGTTTAATCAACTCATTGGCTATAGACCGAAAGGCTGCTGGCTTCTGTTAAGCCCACCTAAACAGAGGACATCTGTGGAACGTAGCCTTATCTAGTCATTTGCCAATTCCCAATCAGGTTTAACTATTGAGAAATGACTCAAATGGCCATTTGTTTGCCTACCTGTTGTGCATGGCAAACCCTTTCACCTGTATGCATGGTGCAGGTGCTCTTCTTCTTCTAGTATATGCCATAGAGCTTTTCTGGCGCTGCTCGACGCAGCTAACGGCCTCATTTTGACTGGCAATCAGGCAAACAGTCGACGTGCTAATTCGTTGCGCACCCAGTTGAGCCTCTGGCAGCCGGATCTGTCAGTGTCCCCAGTGTCGACAAAAATGTAACCAACACACACACACAAGCACACACATACAGTTGCTTGCAACTGAGGCAAAGGCGCGATGCCTAGCAAATGGCAATTCGCTTCTCCTGCTGCCCCACCTATTTGGGCTCCAAATTATGCAAGTCGTGTCGGTGGCTCTGTCGCTGGCGCTGCATCGCGTTAATGTTGTTGGCGTTGCGGCCGCGGCTGCGGCGGCTGCTGCGGCTTCCAGTGCAGCGCTCGTGCCTCATTGGCGTTGCACAAAGCGGGCGGCGGTGGCTAAATTTGCATAAATTAACAATGTTTCGCAATTGCAGCCACTGATGCAGCGAATTCTTGTGACCAACCAACCAACCCCAGCTCATATACCCGCACATCAAGTATGTGTGTGTGTGTGTGTGTGTGTATGTGTGTGTGTGTTGTCCACCATGTGCAATGTGAGCGTTTTATTGATTTGATGCTCCAATGCACTTATTATCCCTCAAGCAGCCAGCGCCAGTTAATCCCATGACGTTGCGGCGCCATTTTACACACAAACACACACACACACACACACAAACGCACTCACATGCACACGCTGAAATGTATGTATATTAGGGTGTGCCCAAAAAGTTGGTCAAGTGTGTGCAGTAGAAGGCTCATTAGTCAAGCCAAGTGGAATTGGTAATGCGTATATATTGCAGTAGATGGACGAGGGGGTGGTTCAATAAGTTGTAGGGGGCGTAACCCTCACTTGTAATGCTCCATATTACGCATATAATATTGTAATATATACAAATTTACAGACATTTGGCTTCCATAGATTGAGCGGCTTAAGATATGGACTGAGATACAGAGCTAGAGTAGCGAAAGTCTACGAATTTTTAAAGAGAAAAGGTATTTTACATTACATGGAGATTCTATGCGATTCGAAGAGGTTGCCCTGCTTATAATATCGCACTTAATTGGATTTGTACCTTTTTCAGAATTGTTGCAATTGGTTTGCAATGTAAATTTCGCTTTTTGTGTCTGTGTTTGAAGTGTTGAGTGTGAGTATGGGTGTGCGTCTGCGTGTGCATGTGTGTGTGCAGAGGGAAGCATAAGAAGCGTTGCTACTGCGGCTAGTTAAGCGTTGAGTGC